AACAGTGGTGTTTGCTTAAACAGGCACAGGGTTTATTTTTTCCTCAAGTGTGAGTTTGCATGCGTGAAACACAAAATACCAATCCTCGGAAACAACGTTTTTATGCAGTCTTTCGCTATTCCTTATTTGGAACCAATTTATTTTGCGGAGAGGCCACAGAACTGAAATTATATATAACTTGGCAGTTACGATTTCAAAACCACTTACCCTCCTGCAGCCGCGGCATGGAGGCACGTTCTTCCAAATTTATCTGGGGTGTCTATTTCAAAGCCTGCAGACAGCACGTGCTCATTACTAAACATGGATACTATGCTATACTTTTGTCCTAGTTAAACCGCAAGAAACATTGCAGAGACAGAAAAATCAGTTAGTCAGAAAAAAACCCCAACAACACAAAAATTAGAGAATGCAGACACAACTGTAGTCAGCAAGAGGTTGTCATGGAAACGGACAGGGGCTGCTCAAGCTTGGCAGCTGCATAAAGAAGAACCGTAAAGTCAGAAAGAATCTATTTTCACATTCAGCCCTGTGCTATATGAGTATTTAAATCATGCAGCAGGCATTTATGAGGCAGATTGCTATCGAGAGAACTGACAGCAGGGCACGAAGGCAGAAAGCTCTGCAAAGGAAACAAGGGAGTCACAGAGATTGCCTCAGCAGGCCTCAAATAGGATTTTTATTTATTGATGGCTTCAGATTCTGTGCCGGGGGGGGGGGGAGAGAAAGGGTGACTTTCTAGGAAAATGCGAACGCTTTATATGGAAAACAGCAAAAGTTTATCGAAGCAAGGGCACGGTAAAAATTCACCGTTAAGTTGTGGAGTGGATGGATATTCTTTGGGAAAGGGGTTGCAATTATTTTTCCCTAAGGGTGCATATGGACAGTACATTCTCACAGATGTGGAAATATTTCTGACTGCTTTGTTTTGTGCATCATGCACATGGATTTATTTATTTATTTCCTATTGCTGGGAGAAAGGTTTTTGTCCTTTTTTACTCCTTGGAAAGGGTGTTTGTTTGTTTGTTTGTTGAGGAGGTACCTAATAAAAATCCCAAACACAGCTCAATTGGTGCTACTATGGAAAAAAGATGATACGTTTTTACTGTTACTGTCCTTGTCATACAGTGGTGCCCCGCAAGACGAATGCCTCGCAAGACGGAAAACCCGCTAGACGAAAGGGTTTTCCGTTTTTGAGTTGCTTCGCAGGACGAATTTCCCTATGGGCTTGCTTCGCAAGACGAAAATGTCTTGCGAGTCTTGAGATTTTTTCGCTTTCCCCTTTATCTAAGCCGCTAAGCCTTTAATAGCCTTTTAGCAGCTAATCCGATAAGCCGATAAGCCTTTAATAGCCGCTAAACCGCTAATAGCGCTAATCCGTTAAGCCGCTAATAGGGTTGCTTCGCAAGACGAAAAAACCGCTAGACAAAGACTCTCGCGGAACGGATTAATTTCGTCTTGCGAGGCACCACTGTATTTATATGCCTGTGACACCATATTAACTGATGGGCGAGCGGACAATTCCCTCTTATGCTTGAGCAGTTTTGGAACTATTTTTGGAAAAGTTGTAAACTGATTTTTTATTTTATTTTTTTAAGTTTAGTAGAAGACTAGTGATTCCTCAGTGAACGGGGTGGGGGGAAGGCAGTAAAAGGCTACACCCAAGCACAATAATGATCATAACTACTGTTACCACCTCTATAAAGAATACAGTAGTACAGTTGTACAACATATGTTTTGCATCCCAAAAAAGACTCCTGTTTGTAAACCGCTTTGAGGGTTTTTTTTTGTTTTGTTTTTTACAATCAAGTGATGTATAGATTTTATGAAATAAATAAACACATCCTGGAGAGCCACTGTCAATCAGTGTAAAAACTATTAAGCTACATGACCCAAAAGCCTGTGTCAGTATAAGGCAGCTTCTATGCTTCTGAGTCACCTATGAGCTCATCCACACTTTCGCTTGCCCGGCCACTTTCCCACAGGGAAACCTTAAACAGCTTAAAAGCCTTCAATAGCTCAGGATACCTGAAGGACCACATCTCCTCATATAAACCATCTTAATCTGAAGCCCTTCTTCGTGTACCTCCTCGTCCACATGTGGCCCAGAGGGTGACAACATGACCTTCTCTGTGGTGGCTCCCCGTTTGCCGAATGCTCTCCCCCAGGGAGATTCGAATGGCACCTTCATTATATATATTTTAGGCGCCAGGCGAAGGCATTCCTCTTCAACTAGGCCTTTGGCAGATTAATATTCCACAGCCTTTTAAATGGCTCTGTAGGAAGGGCGAGGGGAGGTTATTATTTGGCTGCTTGGCTTTACTTATTTACTCGTCTTTATCCTGTATTTTATTCTGTGAAGCGCCCTGAGGTATTATGGATGAAGGACGGTATATAAATCTAATAAATAACAATGACAAACCTAAAAGATGGTTAGAAATTATGATACATGTAAGCTGCTAAAGATGAAGTAAAATGAAAATCAGATAGGTGGGACTTGGGGAAGCCCACTTAACAATGTTTAGAAAAATAAGGATATGACAAGAATTTGTTCGTATTGTTTGTCTTTTCTGTTTGTGTTTTTTATTTGTGTTATAAAATGAATATTTTTTGGGGGGGGGTAACAAACCTGCTCTTTACCACTGAATTAGAGCAAACATCAATACGGTAGAGCGACATTTGCTCCGATTCAGCATTCGAGTGGGTCTCCCTGAGGAAAGTAGGGACGATCCCTAAGAGATATGGAGAGGTAAAATCCTAAGCCATGTTTCTAATACTCTTGCACCGCTCTCCTAAATTTGGAGGAGCAGCTGCCCAGTTACGCCCTGCCAGTGTGGTTCGCTCTAGTATTGGTGGTCTTAAAATTAAGCAGACAGCTGGGCTGCTAAAAATGCAAGGACAAGGAGTGAGAGCGGCTTATCCTCCCTCAGTGCAGGAGCTTTAAAAAGGAACAGTCAAGTCATAGAGGTGGCCTCTTCAGAGAAAGGCAAGCTGCCATTGTACCTCAGATTAAACAAAGCACTTCTATCCATGCTTAGGAAGCGGGGACGTAAATGATTAATGCTGACAAGTTTCTAACCATACACTGAACAACACGTGGGGCATTTGAAACGACACGTTTCCCCCCCAGAGGGAAGGGAAGCTCCGTTTTTGTAACGCAGGGGTTGTTCCCACATTACAAAATGGCCTACTTCCCCAATATTTTCGACACCGGAAAATGTAGAACACCCGTGGCCTGGTCACGAGGAAGGAGAGGCCGCTGTCTGTGCAAACGTTTCGGGTGTAGAGCTGGACGAAACTATGTCTGATCACATTTCCGTGGCACCAACTTTCTGTATGTGAAGCCAGTAGTGTGGCTTCGTAAGCGTGGCTTCTGGTTTTTGAAAGGGCTGTCAGAAATAAAAGCCCGAATGGCAGTTCACGATGCCATTTCCACACCAGTTACTGAACCTTCACGTTCAGAAGCAATGCCCTTAGCAATGCCCTAACCAAGGCTGCTTTCACATGTCTTTTAAAGAGAAGTTAGCTGTTTATTTCCTTCACATCTGGTGCGAGGGCGTTCCACAGGGTGGGCGCCACTACCAAGAAGGCCCTCTGCCTGGTTCCCTGTAACTTGGCTTCTCGCAGTGAGGGAACCGCCAGAAGGCCCTCGGTGCTGGACCTCAGTGTTCGGGCTGAACGATGGGGGAGGAGACGCTCCTTCAGGCATACTGGACCGAGGCCCTTTAGGGCTTTAAAGGTCAGCACCAACACTTTGAATTGTGCTCGGAAACGTACTGGGAGCCAATGCAGATCTCTCAGGACCGGTGTTATGTGGTCCCGGCGGCCACTCCCAGTCCCCAGTCTAGCTGCCGCATTCTGGATTAATTGCAGTTTCCGGGTCACCTTCAAAGTTAGCCCCACGCATTGCTCTCTTCTCCATTCCATTTAAATTTGCAGCCAAGTGCAAAAAGCAGGAAAGAGAACTAAGATTCAAGAACTATTTAGATTGGCAAGAGGGGTTCAGTTGTTTTAGTAATTTTGAGGAGAAGGAGTAGTACATTGGGGGAGGGGGAGCTGAAAATGGTGGGGCATCTGAAGGTGCAGGCTGAGATGTGGGGAGCCAACACATGAAGACACCAATAGTGCTAATGCTAATGAAGGAATTTTGTTAGACGTGGTAGAAAGGTGGGATATTGGCTTGGGATAGTTGGGGCATTTTTAATAAAATTTAACCAAGTCACTGCTTCTATTACTGGCCTCCACTCACACATCAAAACTGATGGCGATGGATTTGGTTCCCACCCAATGCATTTGAGCTTAAGACTCTTGATTTATGCAGTCAGGGACATTAAAACTGGTACAACACAAGGTTTCTATATCCTTTTAGCCAACTTCATCTATAAATAATATTAATATTAATATTATATAAATAATATGGATTATAATATTTCTGAGTTCTTACACATGCAGAAGATAATAATAAAAACTGTATTACATCCAAATTAGGAATCTAAAATATGATATAGCGCTTTAAGAAAAAAAAGGCAGCAAGGGAAAACCAATTTCCTAATCTTACAATGCACCGAAGTTTTATCATTCACTCTGAAAATACAAGAGCAACATGATCCTATACTTGTCTGCTAAGGTGATGAGAGTTGTTAAAGGTAAAGTACCCCTGCCCGTACGGGCCAGTCGTGTCCGACTCTAGGGTTGTGCGCCCATCTCACTTAAGAGGCTGGGGGCCAGCGCTGTCTGGAGACACTTCCGGGTCACATGGCCAGCGTGACAAAGCTGCATCTGGCGTTCCAGCGCAGCACACGGAAACGCCGTTTACTTTCCCGCCAGTAAGCGGTCCCTATTTATCTACTTGCACCCGGGGGTGCTTTCGAACTGCTAGGTTGGCAGGCGCTGGGACCGAGCAACGGGAGCGCACCCCGCCGTGGGGATTCGAACCGCCGACCTTTCGATCGGCAAGTCCTAGGCACTGAGGTTTTACCCACAGCGCCACCCGCGTCCCGCTGAGAGTTGTTAGGAGACCCCTAACTCCCCTCACTGAGCTGTGATTCCCAGAGTTCTCTTTGGAGAAGGACTGATTATTAAGCCACTCTGATAATTATAGCTCTGTGAGGGGAACAGGGGTCTCCTAACAACTCTCAGCACCCTGAACAAACTACAATGCCCAGAATTCTTTGGGGGGGGAGCCATGACTGTTTCAAGTGGCATGATACTGCTTTAGATGTGAAGTGCAGGTGGGGCCTAAATCCAGTGAGATTTACTTCCAGATTATGTGGATGCAGAATTGAAATCTAAGCCTTGGATCCCAAGTTGCTGTTCCATTGGAGGTTTCCAATGGCAGGGAAGGGGGGTAGCATTTTTTTTCCAGTTTCTCCTTCTCCTTGCAGCATGCCATCACACTCTTGGAGCAGGGTCTTCCAACCCTATGGTGCAGATTTTCAGGCTACTGCAGGGTGAAGTCTTGAAAATTGCTTCCCCCACCCCCACCCCCACTTCCACTACCAGGAACATACCATAGACAAAGGTTCCTAATTCCCTATGGCCATCAGTGAAGAAAAAAGCATACACTGTGCTTCAAACACAATCAGTACAGATGATAGGAATTCATACGCATGCACATAGGTAGGGGTTTGCACAAATAAGCACATGCAGCTAGCGCCACAAACATGAAACAGGAAATGAAGCCTTTAGATTTTAGTAACATGAGCACACAACGCTAACCAAAAGAAGGACCCACAAGCAGCTCACTTGCAATGTTAACTGAGCTTTGCATTTTCTTCATTTGCTTACCTGATGACAGCAACTTCCTACAGCAGTCAGCATGGGCATTTAGTGCTGCCAAGTGTAAGGGGAACATTCTGTGGACACCGCATCTGAAAAACACAAAGGAACCTCTGTGCAAATTCTTTCAGAAAGAAATCAGGTGGAGCCATCTCAAAGTTGTTGTTTTTTTAATCTACTCAAGAGGGAAGTTATTTAAGTGTTGGCTGTCATCTCAGGGAAACCTAGGCAAATTCAACAGTCAGGGAGAGTAGTATTCAACTAAATACTGTATTTTTTGCTCTATAAGACTCACTTTTTCCCTCCTAAAAAGTAAGGGGAAATGTGTGTGCGTCTTATGGAGCGAATGCAGGCTGTGCAGCTATCCCAGAAGCCAGAACAGCAAGAGGGATTGCTGCTTTCACTGCACAGCGATCCCTCTTGCTGTTCTGGCTTCTGAGATTCAGAATATTTTTTTTCTTGTTTTCCTCCTCCAAAAACTAGGTGCGTCTTTTGGTCTGGTGCGTCTTATAGAGCGAAAAATACGGTAGTTGTGCCAGAACTAAAACAAGTGGAATTTGTCCCTCTCTTCTCCCCACGCATGCCCCCCTATTGCACTCGAATCTGGAGGGTCAGGGGAATCCCCAGAAGAGATTTAGGGGGTGCACTGGAGGAGGAGAGGGGGGAGATTATTCTAATATACAATCTGGAATCCTTGCCCGGACAGAATGATCTGCTTAAAGCTAGGTTGAATGCAGCAAACAAGCACCGTGAGTTTCCTAATGGTGCCTTATTCGGCTTTGAGTTTAATAGACCACTTTCATGCTAACACAACTCCTAGCAAGAAGCCTGCCATATCAAACACTTTGAAATCTCTGTGACACACAAATATGAGGCCAGACAGGCTGGCAAAACCATTGCATTAATCTGCAGAGCTCTTCCATATGTTGCAAAAAATAAATAAATGGTCCAACGCAGCTTCTGTCTTCTGATAGACCAGCTATTGCATAATTTCTGTCTACAGCCTAAAAATATTCCCATCTGAATATAAACCGGTCTTTCTCCTGCAATGCGCTCCCTCTGCTACACCAAGGATAAGCTGATGACCCAGCTGTCCGCGTCTTGATTTTATGCCGCATCCCTTTATAACACATAACTATCTTAATTAATGGCCTTCTGCTTTGTTTTTCTGCTCATTCCACAGTAAAATCCCTACTGCTCGACATCTACTTAGAAGATCACAATAGGATCTTGACAAATGGGTGTCTCAGAATTTCATTCTAGATCCCAGGCAACTAATTTCCTTCTATAATGGCTGTCTTCCCAGTACTTCCAAGCCGGCTTTTCACTTCACTGGGCATTTCAGCCACTGACAGAGCTGTTTTATTTGATCAACCTACAGGTCACTGAAGCGTGTAATAGAAATTTTGAGCAGATAACCCAGATTGCTCAACCTAGTTTTCATGCTGGCGTTCTTCTCTCCTTTTTTTTTTTTTTACCTTAAACACTTAGAAAAGGAGTAGATTGAAATTTATAAAGGAAGAAGCCAAAAAGGTTGCAGTTCTCAAAATGGTCATCTCCCGACCCACTTCGCCTCTAAATCTATATAGAGCAACGATCTAAACACTATATAATTTTCCGTTTTCCACTGCAAATAGAAGCATAAAAAGTTCTTAAACTGTGCAATCCAAAAGACAGCGACATAACTAAATTAGCTTTGCAAATGTTATATACAGTATAATCCATGGGTAGGCAAACTAAGGCCCGGGGGCCGGATCCGGCCCAATCGCCTTCTAAATCCGGCCTGTGGACAGTCCGGGAATCAGCATGTTTTTACATGAGTAGAATGTGTCCTTTTATTTAAAATGCATCTCTGAGTTATTTGTGGGGCCTAGGAATTTGTTATTTTTTATTTATTTTTCTAAAATAAATATGGCACCCCACAAGGTCTGAGGTTACAGTGAACTGGCTCCCTGCTGAAAAAGTTTGCTGACCCCTGATATAATCCAACCAAAGTTAAATACTCATTTTAATTCACAGTGGTCTCGGTAAAGATAGTTAAGCATATGCTATTCTGTACCTTCTGTGGTTTTATCGACATTTATTTGGTATCAGCCAGGAATTAGGTATCTTAAAAAACAAGAATTTGCAACTGCGGAATCCATATGGTTACATGTTGAATGAGCACTTATGTGCTAGCACAGGGGTCAGCAACCTTTTTCAGCCATGGGTCGGTCCACTGTCCCTCAGACCATGTGGGGGGCCGGACCATATATATATATATATATATGTGTGTGTGTGTGTGTGTGTGTGTGTGTGTATATATATATATATATATATATATATATATATATAGGGGGGGAAGTGAACGAATTCCTATGCCTCACAAATAACCCAGAGATGCATTTTAAATAAAAGCACACATTTTACTTGTGTCAAAACACCAGGCAGGCCCCACGAATAACCTAGAGATGCATTTTAAATAAAAGGACACTTTCTACTCATATAAAAACACACTGATTCCCGGACCATCCACAGGTTGCCTACCCATGCTCTAGAGAGATTAATAAAACCAAAAATCTAGGAAGTATTTTCCAATGATTTATTGGTAAACATAGATCCTATATTCTAGGGCAGGGGTCAGCAAACTTTTTCAGCAGGGGGCCGGTCCACTGTTCCTCAGACCATGTGGGGGGGCCGGACTATATGGGGGGGGAATGAATTCCTATGCCCCACAAATAACCCACAGATGCATTTTAAATAAAAGCACACATTCTACTCATATAAAAACACGCTGACTCCCGCACCATCCACAGGCCGGATTGAGATGGCGATTGGGCCGCATCTGGCCCCCGGGCCTTAGGTTGCCTACCCCAGTGCTAGCATATTCACAACAAACCTTATGCAGTCAGTCATTGCTAAACCTCCAAAAAATGTATTTCTTCAGCAACTTACCTGGCAGCATCAGCTCCACTGGTTATTAGGGTGTTAATCAAAAGCTCGTGTCCATATCTTGCAGCCACATGGAGAGGGGTGTTGCCATCCTTATCAACACAGTCAATTTCACCTCCTGGAAATGACATTTTTAACACAGAAATAAGGATCAAGTGCAATTCAGCTACCAAAGATTTCACATTACTCACTAGGAATATAGGTCACTCATCAACACCAGCCTGAAGAGATGATGCAAGTTATTTTAAGTCTTCTCACTAGTCACAATATAAACGATTTCGGGGGCAGGGTAAGCTAGGCATTAGCCACGCACTCACTGTGTTCCTACAGCAGAAATAATGACTGAGTGTGTGATGTTATATTACACAGGCTCACCTGAAAATTATTGCCATGCAATTGTGAAAGTTTACTTAATAATTCCCCTCTTGCTCATATAAATAGGGCAAATATATCTGTTCAACCTCAGAGCATTTAATAATCTCTTTCAATAGAAAGCTAACATACTTTTAATGATATATGCTAAGTTTTGAATACAGTTAGCAAGTTCACCTCTAGCTCTGTCTTGAAACTTTCTAGGTAAGAGTTCTTCTTTTGTGGAAGTTATCTAGCTCAGTGTGTGTGTGTGTGTGTGTGTGTGTGTGTGTGTGTGTGTGTGTCACATCTCTACCAAATAGGCTGAAATATTTTATTCACATTGCTTCTCCAATACATTGGTAGCAGATCTTATGCTACATTATAATACAACAACAACAGCGTTCTACTCACCAGTAAAGGATGCTATAAAATTTCTTTTTCAGATTTAGGCAAAATTAACATCTAGATTTTTTGTCTTAGATTTTCTTTGCCAGAAAATATTTTTTGAGGGCAGAACTAGATATGATGGCTTTAATCTAAACCCCCAATCTACCATGGAGGGCACCAAGTCTGGGGAAGCTGACCTACATTGTCCATATATATCATAAAACTTTTTCTTTATCATGCCCCTCGGCAGCTTTGTGAGATGACGAACTGACAAAATTAGAAAGAACCACCTCCGTCATCTGGTTCATCTATGGCCAAGCCTGCATAGAAGTAAACAATAAGGCAATAACACTCCCATACATGGGTGTACTATCTTGTTAAACTGACTCCGATTGGCCTGTACTGCCTGTATTGATTCACAACTGTTAAGAGGAAGTGGCAAGATAAGGCAAAGCAGCAGTTAGAAGATTGCTAGAATTACTCAACTGGGAAGGGCTTATGCTCTGTATTAGAAAATAAGACTGCATGTCATCGCCTACGATGCATTCCACATTCCTGCTGCTGATAAATGGTCACAACAACACAATCCAATATACAGTCATTCTACTAATCTGTGGGATGCCCTATCCCAACAATATATTATAATAATAATTATTATTATTATTATTATTATTATTATTATTATT